AAAAAAAAAAAAAAAAAAAACCCCTCCCAGTCACAACCCCACCTGCATAACAGAATTATTTACATTTTGCATGTTTTAGTCCTTTCTTTTCCACATATAACGACTTATTTCTACTTTGTTGAAGTCATAGTGAATAGACTAGTTTTATCCTGACAGTTGTACTTACCAGTCCATCACAGACCTTTTTCTTTTCTGCGTAATCATTTCAAGTATTTGTTCCTGATTAATAACATGTTAATTTGGGGACATCTATAGAGGCTACTGAAATTGTTGGAAAGAAAATCAGTTTATCATTCCAGCACCCTGGGAATAGCTGGTGCGTTTTCCCACACTCCATAGATGCACTTTTTAAGAGTTAGAGTTAATGCTTTATCTCCAGGTTTCATATGCTCCGGACCTCTTCATTAAAGAATGGAGACTGACAACTTTCTGGAACCTCAGCATCACCATATGTGAAACGTCACGATTAAGTAACTCATGGCAGGGGCAGGGACAGGCGCGGGCTCTGTAACGTGCGCGGGCACTAGGTCGAGGTTGCAGGGACAGCCAGCAGGCTCTGGGCTGAGCCGCATCCTGATAACTGTTCCTTTCCGCCCTGGGCGTGTTTTCCAGAGCTCGCTAGCGCCGCTGTCTTTCCCGCTGGGGCCGCCAGGTGGCGCTGTGGCCCCAGTGCGCGGTAGCGGCGCGGCGCGAACCCTCCCCCGGCGTCCCAAGCGCCGCCCTGTCCCAGCCTCCCTTGCGGGTAAACAGACATGGCCGGCGAGGGAGACGAGCAGGACGCTGCGCACAACATGGGCAACCACCTGCCGCTCCTGCCTGGTAACCACCCGGGGCAGGTCCTCAGAGGAGGGAAGGGGCAAGAGGCCTGGAGCCACGAACGGCGCGCCAGGGTTGGGGAGGCGGGAGCGCTGAGGCCAGCTGGCCCCGCAGGGCCCTCCGAGAAGCGGCATCCCGTCGGCCCCGCTGGCGTCGTCACGACGGTCTCAGCTTTGCTCTTCCTTCTCGGGCGCCCTGGCCTGTGAGCGAGGGTGTTGGGTGGGGCGTTCGCTCCATCTTCTTATGTCCCGAGCGTAGCTTTAGGGAGATCCTCCGAAATTGGGTGGCGGGGAGGTGAGGTTGTGTTGGCAGTCGTTAACTTTTCCTGTCTTTCCCTTTAGTGGGAGAAACAGCCGACGTGCATCAAGCACTGAGCACGTTAGGGCCCTGCAGTAAGCCTTTTGCGTGCTTTTTTGCGTTCAGTCCTTCTCACATCACTGTTCAAATCTCGATTTGGAGGGCGAGAAATAGATGGGCAGATTAGTTCAGTGACTTGCCCAAGGTCGCACAGTTGCAGTGCCAGGACTCAGACCCCGTTTGTCTGTCAGTAAAGCCGGAGTTTCTTAACAGTTCTCTTCTTTCGAGACAGTATTTGGTTTCGTTTCCTCATGGAAGCACGAATATACTTAGAGATACTTACGAATGTAGGATTAAACTCAGTTTTCTCTTTATTATATGTTTTGTAAAAATTGAGACCTTGGCCTTGCATTGCGTTGTTGAGCAGGAAACAGGCCATGGGGAATTATAGGCAAGAGGTGTATTAGCCAAATTGAAACTGAGTCTCTTACGTATACACCAGGCAGTATGTTAGTTGTGTGTTTGATGAAAAGATTGGCTAGGTCAGACTAACTAGCAGAGGCAGTTAATTTAGGGTCAGATAATTGAATGCTATTATGGTTCTTCAGAGAGAGGGATTGTTTAGGGGTCACATGGATTTGGAAAGATCCTTCTGAGATAGATCTGGAGAAATCCAAAAGGAAGCACTTTGGGGGGGGGCGAGGGGGGGAGGGTTGTAGGAGATAAGGCTTAGAGTGTAGATGGGTTCTAGGTTGTTGGGGAACTTGTATCTCTTGCCAGTTGGGCTGGAGATCTTTCCTTTGAGTCGCTAAGAACTCATTTCAGGTTTCAGGCAGTTGCTGAGAAAAGCTGTGCTTGAAGGATATATTTGTCCACTGGGAGTAGGCAAAAGGATTGGATGAGAAGAGACTTCCATCATATAGGAGGGCCTTTTTCTATAAATATAAACCACTGTCAGAGTTGGTGGTTGTTCCTAAAGCTGTCCTAGCTGAATTGACATAAAGGTAGGTGTGCCAGCCTTTGATGGAAAAGCTGAGCTGTTTTTTCAGAGACATCAGCCCTACTCTGTGCGTGCCAAATCCAGTGTTTGAGAGAAAACAGTGAATAGAAGAGAGGATACTGATGCTCTATTGGCATTCACATGGTGCTCCTGCGTGAGATGAGTCATCAGACTTCACCCTGGTAGCTCTGAATAGTCGGCATGTGTTTTCTTAGAAAAAATCAGAATTGAGGGGACTCAAGTGTTATAGTAATAATTATTTTCCAAATTATATGAGTTTTATTTGTACAAAAACACTGAATTATCTATAAATCTTTGTAGTATGAGTTGTTTTGAAGATTACTCCTCTTTATGTGCAAGGGAAATACATTAATATTTGAATTGCAAAGAATCTGTCTAGGCCAAATGAAACATTAATAAACATAGCCAAATAGGGGAAAGTGAGGCTTAGCCACATTTATGAGAAAAGCTACTATAAATAAGGAAACTGTGTAGAGACTAGAAGTGAAAAAAATGAAAATGTAAGCTAAATAAAATTACAGTAACCTCCTGTTCCATCCCATTGGATATTTTCCCAGATGTCCAGTGGATGTCTGAAACCGCAGGCAGTACCAAACCCTGAATCTACGAAGTCTATATATACAAACCTATAGATATAAATAGTTCATATAAATATTTCCACTATATACATACCTATGATAAAACTTAGAAATTTGGCACAATAATTAACAACAATAAAATAGAACAGTTATGACAACATTCTGTAATGAAGTTAGTGCCGGTGGTCTGTCTTTTAAATTGTCCATTACTATTTACCAGAAATAGTTCCAAGACCCCTGAGACCAAATTCCAAAATGTTCAAGTATCTTATTAAATGACATATTTGCATATAATCTACACACAACTTCCCATGTACTTTAAATCACCTCTAGATTCCTTGTAACACTGAGTGCAAAGTAAGTGCTATGTAAATAGTCATTATACTGTGTTTTTTTTTTTCAAGGAATAATGGCAAGAAAAAGTCAATACATGTTCAGTATGGATACAAACCTTTTTTTTTCCCGAATATTTTCTATCACAGTTGGGAAACCCTGGCCTATACTGACCATAAGGATTTACCGAGTCTCATTTCTCACCACACTGTGTGTGTGTGTGTGTGTGGGTGTGTGTGTGTGTGGGTGTGTGTGTGTGTGGGTGTGTGTGTGTGTGGGTGTGTGTGTGTGTGGGTGTGTGTGTGTGTGGGTGTGTGTGTGTGTGGGTGTGTGTGTGTGTGGGTGTGTGTGTGTGTGGGTGTGTGTGTGTGTGGGTGTGTGTGTGTGTGGGTGTGTGTGTGTGTGGGTGTGTGTGTGTGTGGGTGTGTGTGTGTGTGGGTGTGTGTGTGTGTGGGTGTGTGTGTGTGTGGGTGTGTGTGTGTGTGGGTGTGTGTGTGTGTGGGTGTGTGTGTGTGTGGGTGTGTGTGTGTGTGGGTGTGTGTGTGTGTGGGTGTGTGTGTGTGTGGGTGTGTGTGTGTGTGGGTGTGTGTGTGTGTGGGTGTGTGTGTGTGTGGGTGTGTGTGTGTGTGGGTGTGTGTGTGTGTGGGTGTGTGTGTGTGTGGGTGTGTGTGTGTGTGGGTGTGTGTGTGTGTGGGTGTGTGTGTGTGTGGGTGTGTGTGTGTGTGGGTGTGTGTGTGTGTGTGTATATATATAAATAACATTTAATGTCCCAAAGAAACTTTAAATAGATAAAATTTCACTTTAAAAGTCATTTTTCCCTATTTTATGTATTATTAAAGTCAACCCACTTGTAGCTAGATTCCTTACAGAAATGGTTTTCAGTATGGTAACTGCCCTGAAACTTTTTTTTATTCTTAGGAATTCCTAGATGCAAGACTTTTGTCAAAGAGAATAACATTATTTTCACCCTAATATGCAAATAGTCAGTGATCTAACACGTCCTACATACATTTCCAAAGAATGTGGACATTTCACCAAGAGATAAAAGAGAAATCTAAACTGATGAGAAAATATTCTGCATCTAATTGTGTACAACCTTGGCACTTTTGACATTTGGGGCTGGAGAATCCTTTATTAGGGACTGCCCTGTGCACCCCGTGTGGGGGTTAACAACATTCCTGGCCTCTACTCACTAGATGCCACTAGGACTCCTGTAGTTGTGGCGACCAAACATATCTCCAGACATTTCTAAATGTCCCTGAGGGAAAAAAATCAACCCTGGTTTAGGATGGGAAGTTCGCCTGTAGTTGGCATGAGAAGGACAGCTTTTCACTAAACAGCACCTACAAAGTATAGTTTTTTCTTACTGGCATCCCTGTCATTAAAAACATCAAATTTTCAAAGATCAGCTTAGTTTTTATAATTTAAAAAATGTGTGTGAAGAAAGCTTTCTGAGACATTTCCTTTAAAATGTGTCATGCTTCATTCCAACTGTGTTTTTAAATTTAAAATTACAAGGCAAAATTTATATGAAAATAATTATAAACATTTCACTTTTAAGTTATGTAGTGACAGCCAGAGAACTGGTGTTACTGTAAAAATGCTATGAAGTTCATTTGGGTTATAATGATACTTTCTCTTATGTAGGAAGTCTTTAAAGTTAAGAGTTTGAAAGAACCTGGAGAGTCTCTTATTCAATTATATCTGTTTTCACATGAGGAAACTAAGGGTTAATCAGGTGTGATGTGTTGTATAAAGTATCGAAGTTGTTGCTAGCAAGGGACAAAAGGAAAATCTTGCATAAAGACAAAATTTTAAATAATCGCTGTAGATATTTCTTCTTTGAGATGGTGGCGCACTCCTCACCTCTTAAGTATAGGGTGCACCTAGTGATGTGCTTCCAAAGAATACAGTATGAAAAGGAGGGAAAACATAATTTTATAGTAGAGACCTGACAAATAATTGTCTCAGCCAGGTGGGTAAGGTTAGTACATTCCCTTGATGTGAACGAAAATACATTTCACTTCTATGGTATTTCTCCCCAAACACATAACTTCATCTAATCATGAGAATTCTCAGACAAATCCTAATTGAGGCATCCTCTAAAAATATCTTACCAGTCCTCTTCAAAACTGTCAAGATCATGAAAAATAAGCAAAGTCAGAGAAAACACCACAGCCCAGAGGAGGCTAAGAAGACCTGATAGCTGTATGTAATGTGGCGTCTTGGATGGAATCCAGGACCTGAAAAAGGACATTAGGTAAAAACTAAAAAAATCTGAGTGGAGTTTAATAAATAGTAATGTACCAACCCTGATTCCCTAGTTGTGTCAAGTGAAGGAAAATGAATATGGGTTATGCGGAACATTATACTGTCTTTGCAACTTTTATGTAAATCTCAAACTATTCTACAGTAAAAAGGTGATTTTTAAAAAGGGGGAAGATGTAGCCCATAGCAGAACCCAGCTGAGACCCCAGGCCCCTGGCTGCCTCTTCACAGGATTGTAGAGATTACCAAATGCATGCAGTATCAGAAGAACCCTTTTCACAGGAAAGAGGCGTTTGGAAAGAAACATAGCTTTGACATTTTCATGCATCTCATTTTTTGTTCTTATATTATTCTATTTATACAGCAGAGAGTGAGGAAGAAGATGAAATTGAAATGGAAGTTGAAGACCAGGATAGCAAAGAAGCCAAAAAACCACATGTCATAAATTTTGACACCAGTCTACCAACATCACATACAGTATGTAAATATAGTGACTGATTTAATGTAATAGATGTATGTTTACCTAGTGATAAAAGTTCCTAAAAACAAGTCACTAATTTTAGTATTATCTCACATGAGAAAATGTGGATGAGGACATGGGTTGTTCACCAATAGAGAAATGTATAGTGATGATTTCATAGCAACTTAACTATATCCTGGTATAATTCTTTGAGAAATTGTTACACTACTATAGTTTTGCTAGTAAGTGAGATACTGAATATTTCTTTTTTGTACTAAGTCCCACGATGTTATTTAACATAACAAATATTTTATACTTTTTGCTTGTGATAGTGGGACATAAGAGATGTTTCTTACTTTGGTCAAAAATATTTTGAACTAAAAAATGCTCTTGGGGACCAGCAGATGGCATAATGGTTACTTTGCTGGACTCCCACATAGTCAACCACAGTTTGAGTCCCGGACTTGGAAGCGTAAAACTCATGCGGCAGATGCCTGTGTGTGTGTGCCCTCCCAAGGTCCGGGGAAGAGAGTGGAGGAGAAGGGATTGTGGTATGGCCATCCCCCCTTGGGGGTGATTTCTTGCTTTCCATCTCTCTCTCTCTCTCTGGCGAGCGTACACACTCTATAGCAAAACTCTCAAATAATTTTTTTTAAAAAGCTCTTGAATTTCTGTGTGAGAGATTCTTTATGAAAAAATTAGAAATTCTACTTCCAAGGGTTAAAAAAGGCAGTTTAAAAATTAGGTTCTCATGTGGAATACTTATACGCTAAATCAATTAATTTTTTATTATTATTTTTTTTTGAGAGGTTTTTGCTATAGGGCGCGTGCGCTCGCCAGACACACAGAGAGAGACATAGAGACAGAAAGCGAGAAATCCCCCCCCGAGGGGGTGGTCACACCGCAATCCCTTCTCCTCCATTCTCTCGGGATCTTGGGCACGCATGCACACGCACCCGGCGTGAGTTTTAAGCCACCGGGTCCTGGACACGAACTGCGGTCGACTACGTGGGAGTCCAGCGACATAGCCATTACGCTAACTGCTGGTTCCCGCTAAATCAATTATTAGGTAAACATTTGTAATTCCTGTTTATATTTTTTCCTGATTTGTCTTTTAGTCTGTTGAGCTGACATTTTTTATTACAGATTTACAGTGATTATGTGTTGTTAAATAGTGTCTGTGCCTATGTGTTATTAAATAGTATCTGGGCGCTGATATGGAAGAATTCCATGGCAGGACTTTGCACGATGATGACAGCTGTCAGGTGATTCCAGTTCTGCCACAGGTGATGATGATCCTGATTCCTGGGCAGACATTGCCTCTTCAGCTCTTTGGCCCTCACGAAGTCAGTATGGTGCGAAATTTAATTCAGAAAGATAGAACCTTTGCAGTTCTTGCATACAGGTAAAATATTAGAGTAAATTTACTTAACACATTCCCCTCACGTGTAGTTACAGTAGAGGTCATGCTGAGGCTAAAACAGACTATCGTGCATGTCCAGAAGTTGGGTGAAAATGTGAGGCATAACATTTTGCTTAGTAAAAGTTTGAAAATACAAGTTGGAATATTTTGGTGATTTTTATTACCATCTATATTAAACATTTATCTTCACAAACAGTTTAATTTTCTGGTATTCAAAGAAAAAATGGTTAGCCATTAATAAAAACACTTCTAGGATCTTTAGTTTTGAGAACTGTATTTAAAAAGAAACACGTATTTGCAGTTTCCTCCTCCGCCCCTTTTTACTGTAGGATGTGTGTGGCTCACTGGGGAGCGGGGCAGAGTGTGAAATCACCCCCTCCGGGGGTGGGGTGGGTGGACACACCTCAGTTCATCTCAGTTCATTCTCTCTTTTGCCCATGGGACCTTGGGATGCACATGCACCTGGTGTGATTTTTCAAGCCACTGGATCCAGGACTGGAACTGCGAAGTTTGCTGTGTGGGATCCAGCTGCCTTAACCCTCACACCATCTGCTAGCCCAGGGCCTTTATATATATTTTGTTTTTTTAATAATTATGTATTTTATTTTTACTTATTTAATTTGTTATTGGGCATGTATGCTCACCAGAGAGAAAGTGAGAAAGCAAGTTTCTAGGTCTGGAACTTAAATTGCAGGTGGCCATGTGGGAGTCCAGTGCCTTGACCAACACACCACCAGTAGTCCACATACAGTATGGACTGCCTTTATATTTTAATGTGAAGGATTACTTTTCCAAAAGAGTGATTTGTTCTCTCTCGCTCAAAGTTTATAAGTTATACCATTATAAACCCATGGTAAATTGGAGCTGAAATTCCTATGTTTCATGGCAAACAGAGGAAATCTATGGTACAGGCAGGAAATAAGTACAGGAAGTTCCCACCCCAGTGAAGTGCTGCTAATAAGCAGCAGAAATAATGGTCTAACAAAGTGAAACAATGTTGCCTGGGAAATGAGAGTTTAAAACTCTGCCACTCCTAAATCATTTTCCCTGACTGAAAATCTTTTCTTACCCTAAAGTGCTCTAGTTGTGCTTTCTGAAGTCTCCTTACATATCTTCCAGTTTCAAAATAAATGAAATTGGGCCAGCCTCTGGCAGATTGTTATTAAGGTGGCTGCATCGCACATGGCTAACTGCATGGTTCAAGCCCCAAGCCTAGTGGCTTGAGAAATATGTTGTGTGTATATATGTGTGTGGCCAAAATCCCAAAAGGAGGGAGAGATGGAGGAGAAAGAATTGTGTATGACCATTCCCTGTGAGGGGTTGCTTTCTCCCTTTCCCTGTCTGTCTGTCTCTCTGGCAAGCACATGCACAGTCTAGGAAAAAAAAATTTTTTTAAATAAATGAAATTATACCAGCTTTGCACTAAGGGTTGATTGTTATAAAATGTTTTTCCATATGTATTGTGTTTGCTAAATTTGCATATTTAAAAGTCAAATGTTCAAAACTCTTTCCTTTTAAAATTTACTTTGGAAGCAATATACAGGAAAGGGAAGCACAGTTTGGCACAACAGCAGAGATATATGCCTATCGAGAAGAACAGGATTTTGGAATTGAAATAGTGAAAGTGAAAGCCATTGGAAGACAAAGGTTCAAAGTCCTTGAGCTAAGAACACAGTCAGATGGGTAAGCAATACCATGTATCTTAAAGCTCCGTGAACATCTTATCATGGAAAGGCTTTCTTAATTTTTTCTACCCTGCTGTTAGTTCATAGTTTATAACTTATAATGAGTTGTTTACTTCCCCTGCAAACAAATGTCCTGATGGTTTATAAAGTTGCTGTGCACTAGAATCACCTGAGAAGTTTTTAAAACTATAGAACCTTTAGTTTTAACCTCATCTTCCATCCCCAGAAAGTGACTTAGTCTGGCCTGAGGCTGCAGCACCCTTTTAGAATGATTTCCAGGTGATTCTAATGTCCTTTCAGTTTTGAGATCAGTAATGTTCATTCAGAGGGAAGTGTCATTTGGGGCACTGTTTCTTTGGGATAGAAGCCCTCTATCTCAGTTGTAAAAAGGTAAGAGCCCAGAGGCTTGTGAACCATCTGTGTGTTCACCAGGACGGCTGGGGTTTCTGTAGCGTTCGTGTGGTGTTTGAAAGCCACACTCGTTACAACCTGCTAGCTGTTTCATCTGTCTTGTACAAACATTTAGTGCCCATCCCCAGTGTGGTTTCATATCACCCAGGAATCCTACTTACATAGTGAGTGATTGGTAAATACTTGTTCTCTCTGTATGTAGTTAACATTTAGAAATTCTTTGAGTACAGTTTTGTTTTAGCAGTTACTTATTTTGGTATAGCTGTCATGGTTAGGGCCTTTCAAAAGTTCAAGGAATACTATAGTTTTTAAAAATCCAGTTTGCCTTTATTGTCTTTTTTAAATTTCTTTAAATTTGCGTTTAACTACCATATATCTTTACAATGAACAACATCCTTTTTTTTTCGACAGCTTAAATATAGTGCATATTAGTCGAGTCAAAGATACAACAATAGATATTATCAACAGTTAACTTTTCATTTTTGTGTCAGTTAATGCTTCTCTTGTCTTTTTTTCCACTCCCATCCCCTTTCCCCCACCCCTTATTACCCAGCTCCTCCTGTATTGTCTCTGGTATCTCAGTTGCCCTCCCTACTATTACACCTTCCACTCTTTCAGTTTCTACTGTAGAGTGCATTCAGTATATATTAGGTGGGGACATACAGTGCCTGTCTTTCATAGCCTCTCTAGATTCACTTAGCATTAAATCTTCCATATTTGTCCAGTTTGTATCAAATGTTAGGGTCTAGTTTTTTATGACTGACTAATAGTCCATAGTGTACATGTGCAACATTTTTTCAATTCATTATCTGGCCTTTATCCTCATTTTTTAAAAAGCAGATAAATGAAAACAAACAACAGAGCATTTGTCTTAATCATTGGATGTTATCTCCTAAAGTCATGGTTCTCAACTCTGGCAAACAGATGCTATATCAACTTATAGATGCAGATTCTTTGGTTCCACCAAGTCCTAATGAATTGGTCTCCGATCTGTAGGCCAGAGTTGAAAATTTCTTCAGACCTCTGTGTGCACAGGTAATACCTTCTTAATATGCGAGAGTTTAGAGTTGGTTTGTTTTGTTTTAGGATTTAAAAGTATGAGGTGCATGAGGGCAGGAACTTTTTGATTGACTCATTTACAGAGTGGCTAATACTATATAATGCTGAATTACGAAAATATAGCAGAGTCTGGCAGCTTTTGAGAGCTAGAGAGCACAGAGAGGGTGAGGTTACCAGAGCTACTAAGGGATTTAGTTCTCTCCTGTTCTTCTCCAGAACATTCATTGTAGAATCTCACAGCTTTTACTCTATTGTTCTGTCCTTGTAGGACTACCTGTCTCTCATAGTAGATGAAGCACTTGAGAATAATGACAGAGATAAATGTTCTACATTTAAAACTATAAATGTTAAATGAATAAATGACTAAATAAAATAAATGAATAGATGATCATCTCGAGGGCTCTAAATTCTCATATTTAGCAAACTGTTACTCTGAACTTACCAACAGTTTGATTTTTAAAGTGCTTTCTTTCCTCATAGCTAAATGTTTTCAGTATTGGTGAATATAGTTTTCCACAGTGGAGAATTAACTTGAGGGAAAAGTGTATTTCTGATTGTCTTGACATCAGAGTTTGATCATGGAAAAACTTCTTTGAACACAAGATGGCAGTAGATCAACTCTGAAAACAGGTCAAGGAATATACCTTTGACATTAATGAACCTTAACATCCACCTGATAGTGCTGGACCGAACTTGGCAGGGACATATTTTTTAGTATTCCATAGACCCACTATTTAGGCTTCTCACCCAGACACATCTGTCTTAACATAAAAGGCTTCTGTGCAGTGAGGTTTCTCTGGGTCCACTGCCCTTCTGGTCCTGTGACCACCTTCATCAGAAATGGTGAAATGAAAGAAATCAGGGAGATAATGTAGTATAGTCTGTTCTTTTTCCAAATCAGCAAGCCAAGTACTAAATAAGATAAATTGCCTACAATCATAAGGCCAATGAAGCAACAAAGCTGATTGGTTCTAGGTCCCCTGACTCCCAAACTGTAGTGCCTTACCAGAATTTCTCCATAGTGCATTTGAAACTCAAGCCAGTTTTCTTCTCTTCAATAAAGTACATCATACAATTTTCATTTTATTTTTATCTAAGTGATGATTACTATATGAAAAATATTCTGCTACCCTCTAACCTTTCCTAACTTAAGATTTCTTTGGTATATTCTGAACACATGAAAATTTTCTAAAAAATTTAATAAAGGAATCAGCAGATGGTGTAATGGTTATGTTGCTGGACTCCCACATAGTCAACTATGGTTTGAATCTCGGACCTGGAGGCTTGAAACTCAGGCCAGGCGTATGTGTGTGCATTCCCAAACCCCCAAAAGGATACTGGAGAAGGGATTGTGGGCATGGCCATACCTGCTGGGGAGTGATTTCTCACTTTCTGTCTCTCCAATGAGCACACATGCCCTATAGCAAAAATTTCTCTTAAAAAAAATTTTTTTTTAGTGAAAAAAAAAACATGGAAAGTATCCTTGAATCACTTTAGAACTCTTTAGGAATTCATGAGTATTTCTGAGCATGTAAAGAGGAGGGATTACCATCCTACAGGCATTATAGGATAAGGAGTCTTAGTGATAGTACTCAGAAAAGTTAATTGAGGCTGGAAATCACAAAAGTTACATACTCGTATATTGAATATCTTAGTTTCACTTAAGATGCATTAATAGTATATTTATTTTTCTTGAGGAGAGAGAAAGTCTCTTCTTTGAACTAGGCCTCAGAATTGGAGATGGCCTCAGACTTTCATGTGCTTTCATTGTATGTCATATACCTACAGTGTAATAACTTCTAGTGTTTCATTAAAGAGAGATTCTAAAGATAATCGTGAGGCAGTTTAAAGTAGAGAATCCTTCCAGATTTGTGCCCTTTTTTCCTATTAGAGTTGTCTGTGCCTAATTTGAAAGCTATTTTTTTAAAGTAGTCTTTTATGTGTCAACTTAATGTTTGTTGAAGCTTTTTTTTTTTTTTTTTTTCTCTTTTTTGTTGGGTTTTGTAACAGTTCTGTAAGTTATGTTACTAAAATAGTTAAACAAGTGCCATAAACAGGTGGGGAAGAAACAAAACCAATCTCTGGGAGAACCACCATGCCTGTGTGAGAGCACCAGGCCCCAGGCGTGTTTCACAGGATTGGAGCCTACTGCTTAATCTTGCCAGGGAGTATAGGCGGCTGGTGTGGCAGACCAGCTAGGAAAGTGATCTGACAGTCATGGCCCAATTACATTCCTGTTTTTATCATAATAAAATGAATTCTCCTGTAATAGGAAAAGCATAATTCTTAATTCAGTCTTTGGTAGTCTTAAACAAGAATAAGATTAATAAAAAATGATAATTGTGTATGCTTTTACCTTAAAAATATGTTCATGCATCAGTGAAGAAAATGGAGATTTTATTTTTAGTGAGCTTTAAAAGTACAAGAACATTGAGCATAGTATGAACATAGTATTCTAACATTTTCCAAAAGTATTACACATAAAATTTTTTCAGCATTTTAATGAGCTTGCAGGAAGGAAAAAAAATTAGAGTCTAATATTATCATCAATAAACAAAACCTACATAGTTTCAGACACACCTAGCTTGTGTGTGTGTGTGTGAGTGTGAGAGAGTTTTTTTGCTGTAGGGCACATGCTCTCATTTGAGAGAGAAAGCAAGAAATCACCCCCCAGAGGGATGGCCAAGCTGCAATCCCTTCTCCATTCTCCCTTTGGGGTATTGGGTGTGCGAACGTACAAACACACGCGCCTGGCATGAGTTTCAAGGCTCCAGGTCTAGGACTCAAACTGCTTTGGGCCACATGGGAGTACGACAAAACCATTACACTATCTGCTGGTTCCTACACTTAGCTATTTTCATTGAATAAGTAAAAATAGCAGAATTTCACTAAAGACTTTATGAATCAAATGGTGGTGGTGGTGGTGGTGGTGGTGATTATTTTGAGAGACTTTTGCTGTAGGGTATGTGTGCTCGCCAGAGAGAGTGTGAGAAATCACCACCTGGGGGGATGGTCACTCTGCAATCCCTTCTCTGTTCTCTAAGGTTTCTTGGTATGCATGCAAACGTGCCCAGCATGAGTTTCAAGCTATCAGGTCCGGGACCTGAACTGTGGTTGGCTATGTTGGAGTCCTGTACCTTAACAACTGAGCCACCTGGTGGCCTCTAACAGTGGTTATTATAAAAGACCACTGTAGATGTAAGTCTTAGACATAACTAATAAAGCGGAGACTTTTAATAGATTTGACTTTGTCGATGGGACAGTATACTGAATATACTGTAGTTACATTCTTGATGTTTCCGAAGTGGCACTCTAGTCAGAGATAATACTCTAGTAATGCCTCAGAGGAAAACAGCTCAGAGGTACCTGGACTTCCCGTTCACATTACTGTGTGATAAGACATCTGCAATTATCATATTCAAGTAGCATTTTATAAGTGACTTTCCCATGAAAATTTAAGTGATTTTTTAAGTATAACAGTTAATATGCATATTTTGACCATTTGTATATTCAGAGTTTTTTTGAGAATGAGAAAAAGAATGCACATCTCTAGTCTCATCTCAACTCATATAAATGGGTTCATGTTTTTCTCATCCGTTCTCAGGTCAGATCATTAATGAGAAAGGACAGGTGGAAAAATGAGTCAGCACAGGGAATGGGGAGCTGAGAAGGTTGGGGTAACCAAAAATGTCTAAAAACTTAGAAGTGTTAAGATAAACAGTAGTTGGTTGTATACTGATATTTGTAAATGCTTCATTAACAGATTGTGTCTATCTGAAATGTAAAGGTTTCTTAGAGTGAAAATCCATACCTTGTGTTATCTTTGGTTTTAACTTTCGTATGATTTATAAAATAATCATTCTTTGAAAATTTGTCTCTTAACAACAGTGTTTGACAAATGCATTTTAAGAAGAAACTTTGAAAATGTTGTTATTTAAAATTGTCTTCTTTCACGTTTATAGATAAACATTGAATTAGTTTATCTTAAAAATGAACACCATGCTTGGTTCTCTTTATTTTAGAATCCAACAGGCTAAAGTGCAGATTCTTCCGGAATGTGTGTTGCCTTCAACCATGTCTGCAGTTCAGTTAGAATCCCTCAATAAGTGCCAGATAATTCCTTCAAAACCTGTCTCATGGGAAGACCAGTATTCATGTAAATGGTGGCAGAAATACCAGAAGGTGAGGACAAATTTTTTATGCATCTTAAAATATAAAAACAGGTTGCTTTTTTCACTGTTTTAAGAATCACAAATGACACTCATGATTCAGTCCCCAGGCACCTTCTGTAGCAATACAGTAGCTGCATTTGACTATAGGTGGAGCTTCTACAAATTTCATATACCATTTTATGTAAAGCAGCATACAGAAGGAAGGGGTGTTTTGCTATTATGCTTTTTAGTTATGTATTAATTAATAGCTTATGATAATTCCACAGGATTCTTACAAACTGTGATCACATCAGATGTTTAGCTCTTGGGTCATAAATGTACAGTACCTGAAAGAAGGGAGAAGATTGGTTTTGGGGTAGCACAGAGTAAGTAATGGATGAGTAGAATATGTTTTCCTATGCAAGAAAAAATTTTCCACTGCTGTTTTGTAAAAATGCTCTTGATAGCACAAGAGCATTTGTGATATGACTTGAAGATAGGTGATCTGTAAAAGCATTACTTACTTGGTCTTTAGTTCTTAGGTATATTACTTTGGCTCTTTCCTTTAGGAATAAAAGTATATGAAACTTTTCCACTTACTTGGGCTATATCATTTCAAGTATAAAATAGTTAATATTTGTAGTTTCTGCCTGAAGGAAAAGATGGCAAGCTTCTAAATGTAGAATAAATTACCTTTTGAGGTTTATCTTTAAAAAATAAAGACAGTTTCCATTATAACCCTAAAAATTCTGTATTAGTCATCATTACTCGTGATCGAGTATGATAGTGTGGGATGTTAAATTTCATGGTAAATTAGTCGAGTCCTAATTTGATGTAAATCAGTATATATACAATTCATTAGGGAACTCATGCACGTGTCCGTGTGTCCCTCCCCTCCCCATAATGTTCCTGCAGTAACATTCCTCCAGTTTCCAGAGAGTACTGTGCAGGATGGGCACCTAATGGGCATCAGGCTTATAACTAGGTACATGTAGATTTCTGGGTTTTGTTTGTGCTTCATTTGGCCAATCTATTAAATGATACAATGTGCTTTAATTAGTGTTTTGAAGATTCTATTAAGAAAGGTATAATTAGGGGCCAATTGTACCCAATAAGAAATGCCCTGGGGTCAAGTCTTGAAATCTCAATAAGTATACTGAGCGCTGGCGCCTGCCCATGGTCTGGACTAGCTGAGACTGGGGCTGGATTGGAGCATGAAGACTCCTGTTTAGCATGCCCCTCCTCATGAAAGACAGAAACTTGAAAAATAAAGAAATGTGCATTAGACTGCCTAAAGACTCCCAAACAACCTTGAAACTTATTTTTGAAGGTTTGACAACACTGATACTACAGGCAACTTCTGTTTACCTGTGCCGTACTTTCTTTTCCAAAGCCTAGATACAGATAGTTTAAATATACTTTTTTCGTTGTTTCTTTTAACAGAAGAGAGGGGAATTTTGCTCCCGTGGTCATTTTAACTGAACTTGGTAAAACAAGGATGTCAAAGACAGTTCTGTCAGTATGTTGGCTAGTTCTGTGTTCTGTCCACAAGAGATCTTGTTTTGTTTTGTTTCAGGTTTTTTCTATAGGGCAAGTGTGCTTGCCAGAGGAGGGAAAATGAGAAATCACACCCCATGGAGTATGTTTACATGGCAACCCCTCTTCTTTCTGGAATTTTGGGCCTGATGCACAAATTTTCTACTGGCCTGATTTTCTACCTGCTAGGCCTGATATTTAAACTGCAGCCATGGGGGAGTCTAGAATCTTAAGCACCATGCCACTTGGTTGATGGGATCTTACAATCTTCAACCTAAACTTTGGCTAAACAAATAAGACTGTTTCTTAAATTTATTTTTTGTGACTTACTGGTTATATTTTTCTTACTCTGTGGTTTAAGCACTTCAGCTTGTTGATGTTCAGTTCAGAATTTGCCCTTTTAACTAGGTTGTCATTGGCTCAACGAAAGGAAGAAAATACAGCTACCAGTGTGCAAAGAGCACAGAAACACTTCTGCGTTTGGAATCAGACCCTCTGACCTTCTCTGTTGTCTTAGTTAACCAGTTATTCTGGACTCTTAAACATTAACCCTCTTTTTTTTAAAGTGTCACTTATTGGTTATTAATTTTTTTCTTTATTCATAGTAGAACACAACATGTATATCTTTATTCGTAGTAGAACACGTGGAGAGTGTTTGGCAGGGCTTGTGTGGCAAAGGAAGGAGGAAGAATAAACCTCACAGGGTGTAGTTATACTGTGATCTCCTTACTCCAGTCCTCCAGCCAGTCAGATAGTGGACACTCATGTGTGCCCAGTTTCAGGCTGGCCAGGCCAGGAATTCCAACCAGTCATCATATAAGATCTAGCTTCTTTTACTCGGTTCATTGTTGCTGACAAGGAGCCACCCTCTCAGTTATTTTCATAGTCAGAGTTATCAAGGGCAAAACAGGTGTTAAGACATGAGATAGACATGCAAGATGTTAGGATGCAAATGCCTTTACCCCATGTATTTTTCAGATTGTTTAAAGGGCTCCTTTAATTAAACTTCAATTAGAGCTCCTTAGGTTCCGAAATTTGGGATGTAGATCAGTGAAGAAAAATTCTTAGCTGCTCTATTTCAAACTTCAGTGTGTTATCTTCCATTCTAACAGGAAAGCAATAAAGAAGAGTCAGTATGTGTATCAAATGATCAAGGAGTTAGGCCGATGTAATTAGGAGATACTCCTAAAGATACTCGCATCTAGAGGCCCTCCTTTTCTGTGATTGAAGCTTTTTTATTTTCCATTTTTTGGAGAGTTTGGTTTTTTTTGTTTTGTTTTTTGTTTGTTTGTTTGTTTTGCTATAGGGTGCATGCGCTCGCCAGACAGACAGAGACAGAGAGACAGAAAGCGAGAAATCACCCCCCAGGGGGGATGGCCACGCCGCAATTCCCCTCTCCTCCATTCTCCTCTTGGGATCTTGGGCACGCATGCACACACGCCCGATGTGAGTTTAAGCCACTGGGTCCAGGACTCGAACCGCGGTCGACTATGTGGGAGTCCAGCGACATAGCCATTACACTAGCTGCTGGTCCCTGTGATTCAAGCTTTGAAACTGTTTCTGTATTAATTTTCCATCACAAACCCTTTCTTTATTCACTTAGATTTACTGTAAGGAGAGACTCTCCCAATAAGAAAAGTATTTTTTCTAAAAGAGTAATTTTACTTACCATTTTTCAGTTTGTTATAGGGTACATGCACCTCCAGGAGATGGGAGGCAGGTGGGAGGAAAGTGAGAAGGCAAGTCACCATGCCTGGGACTCGAACTTCAGTTGGCTGTGTAGGAATCTAGTGCCTTAACTGCCATGCCATCTACTGGTCCTGAGGAAACTTTTAACCTATTCCCTAGTTGCCTAAAATATCTGCTTGTTTATTTGTACAAGCTTATTGTGTTCATCAGAAAAGAGTTAGGGGACCAGCAGATGGTTTACATATGCTGGACTCCCACATGGCTGACCACGATTCTAGTCTCAGACCCAGCAACTTGAAACTCATGCTGGGTGCATGCATACCCAAAATTGTAAGAGGAGAACGGAGAAAAAAGGTTTGCAGCATGGGCATCCCCCTGGAGAGTGATTTTTCTCATTACTTCTGTGTCTGTGTCTCTGGTGAGCACATGTACCCTATAGCAAAAATCTCTCCAAAAAAAAAAAAAAAGAGATGAAATTTAAAGAGAAATCAAATGGGGAAACTGGTAGATAGAAGAAAGTGATTGATGCTCGTCTTTCTAGGCCCGGCTATATTTGTAAACCCTGGTAGCTCCTGTGTCTCACATAGAGCGGGGGAGAACTGAGCACTAATTGAGAAGGCAGAGGCCTCAAAGAGATTCTTGCAAATTTGTTTCTAAGTCTCCTAAAATTAATTTGTATGGGTTTTTTTTTGGTTGTTTTGTTTTGTTTTGTTTCTAAATCTGTCTAGGATGAGTGTGCTCAATGGAAGAGAGAGGGAGAAAAAGTGAGAAAGAAACCCCCAGACGGCATGGCCACTCCTCAGTTTCTTCTCCTTAGGAGTTTTGGACACACGCAACACCTGATGCTTTTTTTCAAGCTAACAGATCTAGGACTCAAACTGGAAAGTCAGCCATGTTGGATCCAGCTCCCTTAACCACAGTACCACCCGGCTGGCTCTATAGTCTTCAGAGTTTTTTTCTCACTTTTTTTTGTCTCTTTTTTTTTTTTTTTTTTTAAAGAGAGATTTTTGCTATAGGGCACATGCATTAGCCGGAAAGACAGACAGAGAGACAGAATGCAAGGAATCACTCCCATGGGGGATTTGAGAGCCGTATAGTACAGAAATTACAGTGGAGAGGCAGGTTGGACTGCCTTCTATGGTGCCATGAATTTCAGAAGAAGAAATTTCTTTAAAAGTTTTTGAGCTAAATAGTGTGTTTAGAGAAATATTTTAGGGACGTGAGCCTGTCAGAAGGTTTTAAAAAGCTCTGGGCTGGGCTAGAGGATGAGGAAGGTAGAATGGCAAGAGAACATGTTAAGGCCAAGGAGAACAGCATGCCATTCACAGGGGAAGACTGGAAACTTACTCTGTGCTAAGTGCATTGACGTTTTTTATTTCTGAATTAGATCCATTTCTACAACATGTGAACAAAGAACTGAAAGAAAAAGAAATTCAGGCTATTGCTACAAATCCCAAAGCTACACACCAGCTAAAAGTAAGTGTTAATAGATCGTCCTAGTCACAAGTAGAAAAAGCTATGTAAAATAGTAGTCCTAGGTTTTAGTAGTTTCCCGGGTCGTACAATAGATACCAGTGGTCCCCACCTTTTTGGCACTTGGGACCAATTTCATGAAAAACAGTTTTTCCATAGACTGGAGGGGAAAGAAAGTCGTTCACTTGGCGTTGACTCGCTTTCAACCCAGAGAAGAGCGTTGCCTGCCCTCCAGGCTCTTGTGAAGGTTACGTGAGCGAATGTGTGTACGTTCGCGTTGCTGGCTCCTTCCTCAGGCCTGGTGCTCTTCTGTTTGTGACTTCCCTTCTCTGT